CTCTCTCTCTCTCTCTCTCTCTCTCTCTCTCTCTCTCTCTCTCTCTCTCTCCCTCTCTCTTTCCATTTACTTTCTCCCATTACTCCGTCCGTCTGTTTATGTTCTTCATTTCGCACCCCGCCCACTTCATTTTCCACTCCTGCTATCCCTCACCACCCCACCCTGCCTCCACAAACGTGCAAAAATATCGCTTTATCTCACCTCCCTTTTTTCCGATATCCTTCCCCCACCCCATCACCCACCACGACAGACACAGGTTTTTGCCTCTAGACTACGTCCTACAGTAGAAGTAGAAGACACCCCAACTTTACCTTCGCCATCCACCCATGAACCATGAACCATCCATGAGGGATCTGCTGTATATGTGTGCGTGTGTTTTTGTATGCATGCCTGTGTATGTGTGTACGCGCGTGCGAGCGAGCGGCTCCGATTTCGTGGCGTGCACGTGCGCGACGATGAAGAGGCTAGGTAGGCAGCAGTAGGCTGAACCGAGTTCTGAGCTTCTCGCACGCGCCTCTATCTACAAAGCACCTTGACGGTAGGGAGCGCTCACCCACTATCTGTTCTCACTTCCTCATTTCGCCCTTCGAGGATCTCCTGAGGACTTTTACCAAGTTCACTCACCAGGAGGGGGGTAGGTACCTACTTCCAACCAAAAATGCGGATGGATAGGGGTGGTTGTTGTTAACGAATCTAACTCTACGACTTCGCAACTTTTTCCAAGCGTTTTCCCCCCTTGCTCAAGTAGGGAGGGTTGAGGGAGAAAGTGAGCGAGTGTGTTAAAACATCGTTTTTGGAATATTGTATTCTCGGCAGGAGTGCACATTATTTCTGTTCTCATTGTGGTGTACAGTGAAATAATTGCTGAATACGGAAACGGTATTTCAAAAAGGAGAATTATTCGCCGAGTAAGATACTGCTCAGCCGTCACTTGTGTATATTCCAATGATTGACATTCTGGCAAAAATACTTTTTGGGTATATTATCATGAATAACTTCCAAAGTTTAAAAGTCAGGTTTAGTAAACAGTTGCAAGTTAAGAAATTGTACAAAGACCATAGTGCAAGAGTCTTTCTTTAACGTCATTTTTTGTGGGAAAGATGTCAGGCCGTGAGACGTAAAAATGTTGTTAGAAAATTCTTTTTGACTGACCATTGCATGGTAGATTAGATTTTATTTATAATTTCAACGTTTAGTTTATCAATTCCCCCAATTTCTACGCTAATTTGTTTCTACTCTAACTTCACTCTCCTTCTTCTTCTTCTTCTTCTTCTTCTTCTTCTTCTTCTTCTTCTTCTTCTTCTTCTTCTTCTTCTTCTTC